CTGTTGGATGTCAGCTCTGCCGCATTAGTGTCTCTGAAGAGGCTGTAGAAAGAATCAAGCTTTAAGTTTTACAATCTTGTAGACTGTCAGTGCCACTCGAACCATGGAATTTAGCAATATTTGATACAAAAAGATAATTCTTTTTGAAGAAAAGGTATCAGAAATAGGACAATCAAGAGTCAACCAACTCCTGCCTTTCAGTCAGACAGTTCTCCTTATATCCCCTTCTCTGCCATTCACCTCTTTTCTCCTTTTCCCTTCTGTGTCCTTGATAATTGTTGGTTAGCTGTGTCACATTAGTGTTTTTGCAGAGGGATTAGGGAGAATCCAGCCTTGATTATCTCAACCTTGAGAACTGTGACTTGCTGCATCTAAATGCTGGGCACCAGGGCAACATTCAAGCCACAGAATCGGATTAGAGATTACAAACAAGCAAAACGTACACAAATAGGCCAGAGGGAGAATTAGGACCAAGAGCCAGCCAACTCTTGCCCTTTAGCAACAAGATCTCTCCTTTCATCTCCATAAAAGCCTATTACAAAACATAGGCAGAACTATAGGCAGACATAAATCACAGCAAGATCCTTTTTGACCCACCTCCTAGAGGTATGGAAATAAAAACAAAAATAAACAAATGGCACCTAATGAAACTTCAAAGCTTCTGCACAGCAAAGGAAACCATAAATAAGACGAATAGACAACCCTCAGAATGGGAGAAAGTATCTGCAAATGAAGCAACGGACAAAGGATTCATCTCCAAAATTTATAAGCAGCTCATGCAGCTCAATATCAAAAAAACAAGCAACCCAATCCAAAAATGGGCAGAAGACCTAAATAGGCATTTCTCCAAAGGAGACATACAGATCGCCAACAAACACACGAAAGGATGCTCAACATCAGTAATCATTAGAGGAATGCAAATCAAAACTACAATGAGATATCACCTCACACCGGCCAGAATGGCCATCGTCAAGAAATCTAAAAACAATAAATGCTGGAGAGGGTGTGGAGAAAAGGGAACACTCTTGCACTGCTGGTGGGAATGTGAATTGGTACAGCCACTATGGAGAACAGTATGGAGGTTCCTTAAAAAACTACAAATAGAACTACCATACGACCCAGCAATCCCACTACTGGGCATATACCCTGAGAGAACCGTAATTCAAAAAGAGTCATGTACCAAAATGTTCATTGCAGCCCTATTTACAATAGCCAGGACACGGAAGCAACCTAAGTGTGCATCATCGGATGAATGGATAAAGAAGATGTGGCACATATATACAATGGAATATTACTCAGCCATAAAAAGAAACGAAATTGAGCTATTTGTAATGAGGTGGATAGACCTAGAGTCTGTCATACAGAGTGAAGTAAGTCAGAAAGAGAAAGACAAATACCGTATGCTAACACATATATATGGAATTTAAGAAAAAAAAATGTCATGAAGAACCTAGGGGTAAGACAGGAATAAAGACACAGACCTACTAGAGAATGGACTTGAGGATATGGGGAGGGGGAAGGGTAAGCTGTGACAAAGCGAGAGAGAGGCATGGACATATATACACTACCAAACGTAAGGTAGATAGCTAGTGGGAAGCAGCCGCATAGCACAGGGAGATCAGCTCGGTGCTTTGTGACCACCTGGAGGGGTGGGATAGGGAGGGTGGGAGGGAGGGAGACGCAAGAGGGAAGAGATATGGGAACATATATATATATATATAGCTGGTTCACTTCGTTATAAAGCAGAAACTAACGCACCACTGTAAAGCAATTATACTCTAATAAAGATGTTAAAAAAATAAATAAAAATAAAAAGTACAATTTTACTGGAAAAACTACTTCTCATCAGACTTCTTACCAAAATAGAAGGGGTTCCTCATCAGCATTATTCCCATTTTACAATTATTGTTGTTACAGTTATTGTAAGCACTGTGAAACCTTTGTCATGAAAATAAATATACGAGAATGAAAGGAAAACAAAAAAAGCCTATTACAGTATCTCCTTTCTTTTTCTACCACACCTCTGCTCTCTCCATTTTGTCCATGGGGCTCTGTTAGGCATTCTGCACATGTGGACGGGTAAATCTTCAGGGCAGTTAGTAGGAGCTAGTGTCGCGGAGGTCTTGCTAGACAGAAGAGCCATTTCAGGTGACCTTCCCCTGGCTTGATTTGTGCTGCTGTGGATGCATTTAATCTCACGAGGACAGCCAGGCTGGTTCCAGTCTGAAGGGTGCCAGAACTTAATCCCAGATATGGCTGTCATAAAACACGGGTTGACTGAGAAACTCCTAGGTCCTCAGTGGTATGGTATGCTACTGGAGAGAAAGACAGCCAAATGGGAATACATGGTGCCTGTGTGGCAGAGTGAAGCCTCCTGGAGGTAAGCAGAGGTGACTGGTGAGGTAAATTTGAGTTGGACCCCTCTAGTATCTCTTGTAAGAAAAAGGTAGTGAGGTAAAGTGTTTCTGGAAAGGAGTGGTATGGTGAGTAACCGGACTGAATTGCTGGCTCTTATGCCTTAAGGCAGACGTGAGATTTCTGGGATCCTTTCTCTTGCCCTCCTTTTTGTTAATCCTGTGTTGCCATTTTAACATGCTAAGGTACGAGGTAAACAGGGGTGTGATGCTTATCAAAGTATAAAAGACACAAGAAATACTACTTTTCCTAGTGCAGACTGTGGCCATTGACCCTGGGAACCAACATGGTGACAGAAGGATTCTCAACCCCTTTCTTTCAAGGAAGGGGGCTCCACCTCGCAGGCCAGGCTTTTAGGACACAGGAGAGCCCCAGAGAGCCCACTCTTCACCCCTGCCAGCAGACAGATGGGTAGTTGCTCAATGCTCTTGTGTAATACTTGTTAACTGGCGAGTATGGTTTGGCACAGTAAACGACTTAAAGCCATTTGTTAAAGTTTTGCCCTCAGCTCTTTATTTGTATATTTGTTTAGGGGGTGAGAGTTGGGAGTTGGATAACAGTTAGGCTTAAGCCCCATCTGGAGCCTCTGCTAGGCTTTACACACAGGCAAGCCTCTCTGCTGACTGCAGTGCAGAGGGGAGCGAATGGGAGAAAACACTGAGTCTTAGTTTCTTTCAGAAAGGAGGCCTTTAGGAGAAAACTCATCCTAACAAGTTAATGTTAATTTTAAAAAGTACTTTGGGGTCACTGGAAAGGAGCAATGGTTCTCAGCGATGCAAACTATTTGTCCTTTTGTCCAGTCTCCATTGGCTCATATCCCACTTATGAAAGGAAGAGGAATGGGGCTGAGAGTAATAACTGGAAAAGATGCCTCACTAAAATATTTTCTACGACCGCCTTGTTGACCATGTTAAAGAAATGCAGAATTAAAAGAAGCCGTTGTAGGGATGGTGACTAGAGAGAGGGGTGTACAGGATATTGGTTACATTCATGTGTTCAGGTTGTGAAAATTCATCAGGCTATATTTAAAGATGTGTGCACTGGGACTTCCCAGGTGGTGCAGTGGTTAAGAATCCACCTGTCAATGCTGGGGACACGGGTTCGAGCCCTGGTCCGGGAAGATCCTACGTGCCGCAGAGCAACTAAGCCCATGCGCCACAGCTACTGAGCCTGTGCCCTAGAGCCCGCAAGCCACAACTACTGAGCCCGCGCGCATAGAGCCTGTGCTCTGCAACAAGAGAAGCCACTGCAGTGAGAAGCCTGTGCACCACAACGAAGAGTAGCCCCCCGCTCACTGCAACTAGAGAAAGCCCACGCGCAGCAACCAAGACCCAATGCAGCCAAAAAGAAAAGAAAGAAAGAAAAACCTTATCATTCTAAAACAAGAAAAAAATAAAGACGTATACCCTTTTCTATATGATTATTATACTTCAATGAAAACTTAGAATGTAAAAAAAAGAGAAAACTTTAGAGAAATAGTAGGGATTTGAGTAATATAGTGCATGCATTTATCAACTCATCGAGTGGTACATTTAAGATTTGTGCATTTTATTGGATGTAAATTTTACCGAAAGATAGAAGGAAAGGAAGGAAGGAAGGATGGATGGAAACTGCAAACACTGAACTCTAGTTAATGGCCTGCGTGCTGAGGTCTTTTGGTATGGAGTGTACTAATATCTGCAACTTACTCTGAAAGGTACCTAAAAAATGAAATGGATTGATGAATGGATAGAAAAATATTAATTGTAAAATCTGAAGTGACTGTACAATTCTTTCAACTTTTCTGTATAATTGAAAATTTTTACATGTAAATGCTGGAGAGGAGAATCTAAAGGAAAGAGGAAGAATTCTTCCCATTTCTTTACGAATATAAATACCGGCTCGAGCCCACTGAAGACCCAAGTGCATCAGCAGCAATTGGCAAGAGACAGAAGAAGAAAATGGTGGATGCTATGAAGGAGATGTCCAAACACATTCAGGGACACATGTGAGACACACCCCGGGGTTTGTACCATCATATACAACCAAGCTGTCAGTTTCGCTTTTGGCATTTCTGTAAATTACAAATGTTGAAAGTACTCATTATTAGAGTCTGAAGCAATCTGCAGCATTCGGCATGTGAAGCTGGAGAAGGGTTTTTGATACCTCTAGCTAGGGTCAACTTTTTCAACACTTTCCAGTTATATGAATCATTGTATTTGTACTCAATGAAGAAAAGCTAAAAATACAGGTAAATGAAAGAAATGAAAACATTTGAAGTCGACACCTATGTTTGTCGTTGCAGCAGCTACACTAAAGACACAGGCACTAAAATGGAAGGATGTATATTTTCTCCATCGTGCCTGTAGTTTCAGAGCCAGAGTGCCCTAAGAATTAGTCCATATCAGGGTTGTTTGTTTGTTGTGGTTTTGGTTTTTATTGAGATATAATTGACACATAACAATCTGTCCAGGTTTTCCTTGATTGCTAAAGAAGAATCCTGGGGAAGGAACTTTCATTTCCTCCTCAGCGCTCTAACCAACAGATACAGTGAGTACGAATGCATGACCTCCCGCAATCATTATTCTCTTTCAATCTCTTTCTAGGGTTTTACCGATATTTTGCTGGAAAGAGTCATGCATGGGGGAGCCAACATTACAGGATTCCAGATTGTCAACAACGAAAACCCTATGGTTCAGCAGTTCATACAGCGCTGGGTGAGGCTGGATGAAAGGGAATTCCCTGAAGCCAAGAATGCACCTCTAAAGGTAATGTTCCACGACATGTAGAAACCTTAGGCCAGCTTTTCAGAGCATCTCAGTGTGGCCTTTATATATTTACGGCCGTCCAGTGGTCAAGTGGTCGTCCCTCAGAAGTGTTTCAAGGATGCTAAAACACAACTGCAGATACTACTGCTGGACTTGAAAATTAAGTTCCCAAATAAAGAAGCTATTGAGAAGGAGGTCTTTTAAAACCCAGCGTTTGGGAAGGTTAACTTAATTTTTTAATGAATTTCATCTTTAATATGCTCATAATTTACAATATTACAAGAACCTGAATCAGGCAAAGAGTGGGGGCAGTGGGAATAGGTAAGGAAAATCGATAGTCTGAAACAGAAAATTAGATTTTACATTATTTATGTGATTACTTTGTGTTAATAAGTTTCATGAATCTCAGTACACCCAAGTGAATTAGGCTCTAATGCAGAGTGCATGTTGCCTATACATATATTGAATGGAAATATTTTCCTGCCTGCAAAAGTATCTTTAAATAATTAGATTACCTAAGTTGCTCATTTTCATGAAATCAAGATAAGAACACTGAAAGCAGAAAGTCATGCTTAAAGTGCACATTTTTCATGTGTTCCCCTATGGCTCGAAATCCTATTATTTAAGAATCAGGAATTAAAACAGATAAATGGGGGGAAAGTTATTCATGTTACACAAAGGATCCTTCCAATGTATTTTTTTTTAAGTAACCCATTCCCTCAGTGCATTGATCCAAGTATGAAACAGACTTTAAATTCTTCCTTCCTGATATGTACGTGAACGTATGTATGTACCATGGCTGTGGGATCCTTGTGATCAAGATGAGGGATCAAAGCAGAGTCAAGGCTCAAGGCCCCTCCCTAAAAAAGGAAAGGGGAGGGGACATTTCCTTTCTCATGGTTTCAAGATACCCATCCTCATATCCTTCCTCCCTGGCAAGAACAGAAGAAGGAGGAACAATGGGACATAGAAAAGAGACACATTCTGAATCACCTATGCAGGTCCACCCTGAATGGGTCACATCAACACAATACAAGTGGGACCTTACTTTATGCAATTGGTATGTTCTAGAAAAGTCGTAAGTTAAACATCTTTTTGTATTAATTTAAGCCACTCACTAGCTAAGTGGTCCTCTGTAGTTGTAGTGATTACATTACACATGCCAGATTTTTCCAGGTGTCCTCATATGTTTCAGTAAATATGGTCACAATTCCTATGAGGAATCCTTTGTAGTCAAATCATTTTTTTAAGATGATGATTTTATTTTTTATTGAGATATGATTGACACTGTATTACTCTTAAGTATATCACACACTGATTTGATGTATGTATGTATTGCAAAATGATCACCACAATAAGTTCAGTTAACATCTATCACCACCACAGCTACAAATTTTTTCTTACGAGAACTTTTAAGACCTACTCTCTTCCCAGCTTTCAAAAACTACAGTGCAGTACTGTTAACTATAATCACGATGCTATACATTACATTCCCAGAACTTATAACTGGAAGATTATACCTTTTGACCACCTTCATTCATTTTCCCTATTCCCCAGCCTTGACCTCTGACAGCCACCATTCTGTTCTCTGTTTCTATGAGGTTTTTTTTTTTTTTGGATTCCACGTATAAGTGAGATCACACAGTATTTGTCTTTCTCTGTCTGACTTATCTCACTTAGCATAATGCCCTCAAGGTCCATCTGTGTGTCACAAATGGCAGGATTTCTTTTTATGGCTGAATAATATTCCATTGTATGTGTGTCTGTGTGTGCATATATATTTTTATTGAAATATAATTGACATGACTTTATATATGTATATATGTGTCGGTGTATATCACTTTCTTTATCCATTCATCATTTGATGACTTGATGAACACAGGTTTGTTCCATGTGTTCACTATTGTACATAATGCTGCAATGAACATGGGGGTGCAGATATCTCTTTGAGACAGTGATTTTATTTCCTTCAGATAGATACCCAGGAGTGGAATTGCCGGATCATATGGTAGTTCTATTCTTAATTTTTTCAGGAACCTGCCTATTGTTTTCCACAGTGACTGCGCCAATTTACATTCCTATCAACAGTGCACGAGGGTTCCCTTTTCTCCACATCTTCATCAATGCTTGTTGTTTCTTGTCTTTTTGATAATAGCATTTTTTTTTCCCCCGTTACGCGGGCCTCTCACTGTTGCGGCCTCTCCCGTTGCGGAGCACAGGCTCCGGACGCGCACGCTCAGTGGCCATGGCCCACGGGCCCAGCCGCTCTGCGGCATGTGGGATCCTCCCGGACCAGGGCACGAACCTGTGTCCCCTGCATCGGCAGGCGGACTCTCAATCACTGCGCCACCAGGGAAGCCCCAGATAATAGCCATTTTGACAGGTGTGAGGTACTATCTCATTGTGGGTTTTTTTTTTTAATTTATTCATCTTATTTACTTATTTATTTATTTTTGGCTGCGTTGGGTCTTCGTTGCTGCGCGCGGGCTTTCTCTAGTTGCGGCGAGCGGGGGCTACTCTTCATTGCAGTGCACAGGCTTCTCGTTGCAGTGGCTTCTCTTGTTGCAGAGCAAGGGCTCTAGGCGTGCGGGCTTCAGTAGCTGCAGTGCCCAGGCTCAGTAGTTGTGGTTCGCGGGCTCTAGAGCGCAGGCTCGGTGGTTGTGGTGCACGGGCTTAGCTGCTCCGCGGCATGTGGGATCTTCCCGGACCAGGGCTCAAACCCGCGTCCCCTGCGTTGGCAGGTGGATTCTTAACCACTGTGCCACCTGGGAAGTCCCTCACTGGGGTTTTTATTTGCATTTCTTTGATGATTCAAATCTTTTTTGTTATGGACTAAATCTGCCCACTACATTTAGGTGAGCTTATATTAATTTATATTTTCATACAACTGCCTATCCACCGTTTTGCCACCCTTAGATTTAGCAGGCAATAGGTAGAGGAAAAAAACTCATTTATTCAATATTTTATGGGTTACCTACAAAACGTCAGGCACTATGCTAGGCACAAAAAATGGACAAGAGTAAAAGTATGAAAAGGGTGCTACAGAGTCATTTATGCCTGTTCAGAAGTTGTAGAGGTGTACAAAAGAGAAGGAAGACAATCTCAGCTCTGGATTATTCATTGGTAACTCATGATATGTGTAATGTAAAGTTCTTAGAACTTACTGAGAAGAACTGTTCAGGCTTTATAAGCAAAACCCTTCAAATAACTTAAGAAAACGAAATACTTAAATAGGTGGTTACAACTTTCGGATTACTTTGACTTGTACTAGTCATTATGGAACCTGTCCCTATATCAAACAGACAAAAAGCCCATGTTAGAAAATTATGTACAATAGTTTTGATTAGGAAATAAAACTGTCTAGAGATTAAAATCCTGATGCTTAATTTATTCTATATCTTATGAACATTTCCTTTGGGGTCTTTTTTTTTTTAGATGGTCACACATTGGTCCGTAGAAGCTGAAAAAGTAGAAAATTAAATACCTATTTTGGCATGGCTTGGAAAGGACTACGTTAAGATTGCTGACAATTTATGCAGTCAGCTGGAAAAAAGAAATCACCACCACGTTGGCTTTATGTAGTGCTAGCATGGGCAGACACAGATTTTTTTTTTTTTTCACGAAAGAACATATATGCCCCCTGTTACAGTCATATTTGATGACTTGGCCCTGAAAGAAAAGTACCATGAGAAAAGTCAGAAAAGTAAATTGATAGTTGTAAAGATGACAATGCATTCACTCACAATTGTATTGGGACATACTATATAGACAGAAAATTGCCCCCAGGGCATTTTGCTTCATTTTTTTTTTTTTTTTTTAGAAATCAACAGAATTCTGTATTCTACCAGTATTTGTCACCCCTGCAAAACAGGGGCCAGCTAATTTTAATCACACTTTGTTGATTCATTAATGAAAAGGCATCCATTATGTCAAATTGCAGATAATCAAATCCCTTGTATTAAATGACTGGCCTCATCCTTAGTACAGTATATCCAAAAAATAGAAAGTAAGTGTTCTTGCCTAAAAAAGGTAGCATCACGAAGTATTGCCTATGAATTGTCAATGTTATCAGATTTAAAACTCAATAACAATTGTAATTTTCTACAGTCAAAAACCAGCTTTGGATTTTGCTCTCCCAAGGAAACAAAAACTGATTTATTGCTGGCCAGAGGTCCTAGTTCACCAGAAACGTGGTCCAGACAGAAATGATTAATGTTTCCCTCCAAATTAATTTCAAGCTGTCTAACTTAGTTATTTCCATTTTCCCCTAAGTAAACACCAGATCTGAATTTTCTATTACAAACAGCAATAACTCAGTCTTGCTTCAGGATATGCCGTTTCCTCTCCAATCTACATATGCCATCCTTTAACTTCCCACATATTTTGCTCTCTAGAAAGGAGCTGGCCTTTTAGCAGTCACTCACTCAATACGAAACACAGTATTGAGAGCACGAGAGAGATTCCCTTGAGCCATTTGATCTTAATAATCTTAACATGTGCACACATGAGATAAGATGCATCATTCTAGAATGGATCAAAGTCAGGCTTGCCCAGAGAGATCTCTTGATTCAAGTAATTAAGAGGGTGACTTCATAGAACAAGAGTTGGAGATGAATGAAAACTATAAGAAACGAGGCAAGCTTTGGGGGCATCGTTTGTCATGATATCTTGTTTTCCATACATCCATTTCAGTACACATCTGCATTGACGCACGATGCCATACTGGTCATAGCAGAAGCTTTCCGCTATCTGAGGAGGCAGCGAGTGGATGTGTCCCGGAGAGGCAGTGCTGGAGACTGCTTAGCAAACCCTGCTGTGCCCTGGAGTCAAGGAATTGATATCGAGAGAGCTCTGAAAATGGTAATGACCACAGTGGGTTATTGGGTTGGGGGCACCTTATAAAGACACAAAAAGAGTAAGACCTCAATCTTGAGAAAAGACAACCTAAAGGGAATAGGATCAGAGTCTGTAGAATGTTCAAAGTGTACAGAAAGATAAGCACCGATATTTGTTCATCAAAATCTAGAAATCTAAAACTAGAAGATTCTTCCTTGAAGCTTGAGAAATGGTAAATTTAGGGCAAATGAATATTTAGCTCTGTACTAAAGTGGGGATAGTAAATCAAACTCAGTACCCTTGAAAGTTATGGATTGAACATGTAAATGGCTTCAAAAACTTCAGACTTTCCAGAAAATGGTGTTGCTTAGGGGGACTGGGATATTCTCTAGGAAACTCCTAACTTCAGGGTAGACATTACCAGCATCCTCTGGCTCATCAGACGAATTATTAGCCTGGATGGACTGTGGAACTGAGCCAGTGGGATAGTATTTCTATTTGTCAGAAAGAACCTTTATACTATTCTACATGGTGAAATGCAGGAGCACAGTCCATCCTAGGCCTACTTAAGAGTTACTTCCCCAACGCCCTAGAGAAAAAGCCTGAAGGAAAGTACAAGGAATCAATGGGCAGAGAGTCAAATAGGTCACTTGTTTTTAGTATTTACTGGGTGGGAGAGCATTTAAGGCTTTGAGAAGTATCCTTTGAACAGATTCCATTATTTACACTAGGAGCAGCATCGCCCATTCAGTGTAGCTTTCCAAGCAAGAGCTCTTTCTCGAATATTTTGCTTTAAGCTACATACGCCTGCATGCATTAAAATAAGCCTTCGAGAGTACAAGACTCTCTTATTTCTACTTCTTTAATTATCCTGATGTTTAGAACATCCAAATCAACAAAGAGATAGGCAGTGATAAGATAATTCTGTGCACAACCCAGCAACTAGGAATCTGTAATGGCCTCATAATGTACATCATTTTGTGTAGCTGGCTCTCTTACTGCTGCCTTAAGCTTGCCAACTTGGAAGCATTCAGTAGAAAGGGGTTAGTAGCCACTGTGTCTCTCTCCAAGAAAGAGATATGACTCATTCTCCCATCATGCAGATTTTTATGTCATCATGTCAGTTCCCTAACAAATGCCCTAAGTGTAGTTTTATGGAGGTAGCACTGCACAATTTTTGGAGAACAGTTAATTAGATTCAACCTTCATAGCTGTTACAAGATTTGTATTGTCAGGTGAAACATAATGATGAGTGAAATATAAAACTCCCTCGGAGTGAACCAAAAGGAGTTTTCATCAAAACCTCAAGGGGCAAGTGCCAGCATCTTCGATTGACTTCCCGTTCATGACACAAATGACTCTCTTCCCCAAATACAAAACTGGCTACCAGAGTGAAGGACAAGAAATGAATCTGGCAAGAAAAACATGAGATTGATCATATTATTGCACAAAGTTTCCACATGTCTAACTCACTGATATAGCTCAAGCTGTAAGCCAGGTAAGTAACCTTCCTCCCCAGGCCCTCGTGATCAAACACTCAACAGAAAGGATGCTTTCCCTCTTTCCATAGGCCAGCCTCTTTCTAAGGCTTCAGAGAGGCTGGAAAGTATCAGCCTCTGCCAAAAGTACATGTTGCCTTGTGACAAATGATCAGTGAAACTCCACTGTTCAGAGGACTGCAAGAGAGGGTGGTCTGAAGTGCTAAAGGTTTTTACCATATTAAAAGAAATCCCATTTTATTTAAGTTAACTAAAAGTGAGGATGCATGATGTAAAAGCATCCCTCATTGTGACTAGCACATAATTGCTGCTCAGTCAATCATTCTCTTCCTTCAAAGAAATCTGGCAAGCAAAATCATTACCTGAAAGAGTCTCCTAAGGGGCCTGTTTTAATGAATAAATAATCACACCATTCATTAAACAAATATTTGTTGAGCACCAAGGACTATGTATCAGGCTCCAAGTTAAAATGCAAACATGAAATAAGATGAGGGGAGCTCAAATTTAAATTGTTAATATGTAAACAAATGCTTTTAAAAACCTTAAAGCTACTTGCAGATCGGGTAATCATCATCCTTACAATCTATCGATGGTGCAAAGATTAGCCTCAACCTGGTCTACTGAAATATGTCACAATTCTAAGTCATCGAAACTTGTCAACTTGTTCAGTAAACATTTATTGAACACCTGCTCTATCCCAGGCGCTGGATTACTTGCTGAGAACACAGAAAAAAATTAAAATGTCTTTCATCTTGAGGTGCTCCCAATCTAGCAGGGGAGCTAGAAATACATAGATGATTAAGATGTTACGGTGAAGCTCCACACGGAATGCTATGGGAACCCAGAAGAGAAGCACCTAATATAGACTGAGGTGCGGGGTGGAGAGGATTAAAGAAGGGATCCCAGATGGGATGGTGGGAAACTGTCACTGACATTCACATCCTTAAAAATAGACTTCTCTCTGAGTGGTAGTCCAATTCGACTTCTGCTCATCAAAAGTTCTAATCAGTTTAGGCTATTGTCCAGTTTGCAGATCATGCTCAGATAGGCCGAATCTTTAGAAATATACAATTCTTAATGAGACTGAAGACTTTGCTATTTTCACTAACGAAGGATTTCCTTAATAATTTCCTCTGCCAGTGTCTCTACCCTGCCTATCTCCTCTCCTAGAATTCAGTGCTCAAAATAGAGTGTAAAGAACCCTTCATGCATCACAGTATCCATCAGACCCATCCTACTGGATAAGCAATTTCTATCTCAACAAAGGACCTTTTCTTTAGCCAGAAGCATGACGTCACCTTCTCTGCAAGCCTACGCTGACAGTAGTGCTTAGGTTTGTTCATTTAGTAGGACAATCATCTTGTCTTCAGGGAGTCACATTGGAGCATTTCTCCTTCAACAGATATTCCATGGTCTCCTACTTGTGGCGAACAAGCCCGGTTCCCTTTAAAAAGATGCTCCCTACTATTTGCCATCAATTTTCTCTGCTGCAGCACAAGCCCATTACCGCTTCTCACTTGCTTAACAAACAGCTTGTCACTTTTCTGTAAGAGATGAAAAAGTATTCCATTCTTGCATCTTGGGAGAATGACAGATTCTTTTTCTTTGAAGCAAATTCCTTGACCCATACTCACCAGATAAGTAATTCAAGTGGGTAACAGTAATGACATATTTATAGAGGGTCTTTCATCCAGTGTCCTTGAACTGTAAAATAGGTAAGGAAGTCTCTCCACCCAGTAGAGATGGCCTCATATTAATTCATAAAACGGGGCCCAGACCCAGGAAAAATTGTGGCATACATGCATCTGCATTTGGCCTCCCAACTAGGTGTCTGGGCTATTCTAGTACCTCTATCTGTTTTATATAGTATTCAATACTCCCGATTCCCTAGACTTAACAAATTTCATCAGTCTACGGATTATCCCTCCATGGCCTAGCTCTCCACTACCTGTCTGGAACTGGGCACAGGTTAAATAAGAGGAAAAACTCATCCCTGTTACTATGGTAGCTGATAAATGTGTAAACCCCTCAAGAAACAGAACTAAATTCATTTTGATTAATAATTATTATTATTAATAGAGCTAGCATGTATTGCAATACTCACTACATGCCAGACACGGATCTAAACACTACATATGTATAACTCATTTAATCCTCCTAACAACTCCATGGGATAGGTACTACTAGGACTTCCCGTTTTACAGATTAGGACACTGAGGTACAAAAGCATTAAGGAACATCCCCAAGGTCATACAGTTAGTAAGCGATGACGTTACAGTATGAATCCAGGAGCTCCAGAGCCCACGCTACTGAAGCTGGTTTATGTTTGGATGTTGGGAATAGTGGAACTCACAGTTCAGAAGAACGCATTATCCTAGTTAAGAATACTCCCTTCAGAAAAGACGAATGGTAGAAATTTCAGGTTCCTTGGAATCTAGGAAAATGGTATAGGTGATCTTATTTGCAAAGCAGAAATAGAGACACAGATGTCGAGAACAAATGTACGGATACCAAGGGGGAAAGGAGCGGGGTGGGAGGAATTGGGAGACTGGGATTGACACATATGCATTATTGATACTATGTATAAAATAGACAACTGATGGGAACATACTGTATAGCACAGGGAGCTCTACTTAATGCACTGTGGTGTCCTAAATGGGAGGGAAATCCAAAAGGGAGGGGATATCTGTATGTGTATGGCTGATTCATTCTGTTGTGCAGTAGAGACTAACACAACATTCTAAAGCAACCATACTGCAATAAAAATTAATTTTTAAAAATCAGTTTCAATAAAAAGGGGATTGAACTACACAAAATACATTTAAATCTATGAGTTGATAATAATACTAAAAAACATGGGTTACCTTTAGACAATTCTATGAAAGATTTTTATTCTGAAAACCAGTAAATAAAGAGAAAGTTAAGTATTTAAAAAAAAAAAAAAAGAAAGAAATTTCAGGTCCTTGAAAAAGTAGTGGTAGGGTCCTCACTGTATCATATAAGAAACTGCCTGTCACACCCACTCAAAGCTTCATTAACTAAAAGGCATACTTAGAAAATACTGCAGAGGAAATGAAGATCTGTATAGACTGATCTGGTGGCTATAGCTCAATGGCTCAAGATAAACATTCTCCAAGATTCCAAGATCCGTCAGCGGACCTCATCACAAAAACCAAAAAGGCAATAATGTGGTGCTATTTTTAAATTTTACATTTTTCCCTTTCTACCAGGTGCAAGTACAAGGAATGACTGGAAACATCCAATTTGACACTTACGGACGTAGGACAAATTATACCATCGATGTGTATGAAATGAAAGTCACTGGCTCTCGGAAAGTAAGTAACCCAAACAGATATTCAAATAAAAAATCTCTCAGAAAGTGACAGCCCTCAGATGCAAGGAAATAGGTGTTAGAAAACACACCCAAAGCAAATTCCCACACATCATGTTTGCCTTTCCACTTGGTGAATAGTGTAGATACGATGCAGAGCTGTTGTGTAATCAAAGTGTTCCATCTACACATTTTAAAAGTTATTTCCCTCTGAGGCTGGTCCTTTAAAAGTGGTAGACTCAAGATTAATTAACAGCTTCCTACAATACAGGGAAGGAACTACAAATTTTATAGCATGTTATTTAAACAGAAGCTGCCAAGATACACATGATTTTAGCAAAAGAATTGGAAAGCAGGTAATCTCTCCATTTTGCCAACTCACCCACCAAAACGACTCTGGACAAAGTACCTTTCCCTA